CACCTAGATCGATGAACCATCAAGATACCCACCTGACTTTGAGCTGCCGCCGCCGACACCGAAATCACCTCCCAGCATCTCGGCGAACAGGTACTTCGCTCTTTCGCCATACACCGGCGACTATGATCGCGTCGTTACACCAAGAATCGCCAACATCGCACGTCAAAGTCGCGAGAGCATCAATACCTGGTACCTGGACAGTTGTTGCGGACAGCACATGGTGGGATCGCCAACGTTCATCACCAACTCCAAACGCATGCGACGACCCTGGGAGATCACAGTAGCAAACAACGGCACACTCAAGGCATACGACATCGGTGAGGTCTACCTTGAAGCTGATGACACAAAGTTCACAATTCACATTGGTGATGTGCTTGTCGCCCCAGATCTACGGTACAACCTGCTTTCTTCGGCGCAAGTCATGCGGTGCGGAGTCGACATTCGAAGCAATCGCAAAGACAAAACCTTCGAACTCTTTTACAACAACTCTTACATCGGCAAGGCAGTTGACGATGACGAAGTCTTCGTACTGCAGTTCTCGGCTCAAGGCGCCACTAGAGATTCTCACCGTACCTTGCTGCTAAAGACAACTCCCTGGGAGACACCAACATGGCCGCATCCCGCAGAAATGGATCTCGAGCGACCAGCCTCCGACGGTCTTCTACGACTTCGCACCGTCCCAACTGCCTCGACCTCCAACCCGACTGAGACTGGACCAGCATCAATGGAAGAGGATAGCGGCACGTCAGGATCTGCCAAACCAATCACTGAAGAAAAGGAGAAGACTGAAACAAGCGCAGGCAGATCCGGCCCTGCACTTGGACCCTTGGGAGAAGTCCTGACGCCAGAAGAAGCAGCACCAGAAGAGCGAGGGACTGTCTCGGCGTCGGAAAGTGGCGCCACCGCTCCAACGGATGCCGGTGCTGGAACCGGCGGATGGGGAACCAGCGGCTGGGGAACTGGCGACACTTGGAGAACCACAACAAGCGAAGGAGGCCGGGGGCAAACGGCTCCTGCCTACCCCGAAGCCCCGGGTCTCCCTCCTGCAGACACCGCGGCGGTCGATCCCTACTGGGAAACACGTGGCACCGGCTGCAGTGGACCTCCCCTCTCGGATCAGTATGCTCCTGACACACCCGAACCAATGCAAGAAGAGTCAGAAGAAGAAGTGACCTACGAATTCTTCGGAGGAGCAGCAGAATTACTTGAACCTACCGAGGAGCCACCACCGCCAGAACAAGGACCACAGGAGATTGAGGTCATCGGCGCCGAGTACAGTTACTTCCGCATCCCCGTGAAGGGACTTCCAGTTCGCGAATGGCCCAATCAGTGCCTGCTTGTCATAGGCGACCAAGTCGACGCTGGCGACACCGATGACATCGTTGGAATCCCACACGCGCTTCTGGAACGGAAGTCAATTCAAGCCTTCGCCGCCGAGACTGACGACACCGCCGACGCAGGACCTGGAAAGGAGCAAAACGACGCAGCATCAAGAAACACATATTATCAGAAGACAGTCGGCACAACCAGAAATCTGGCATCAGCGGCTCGGCCACCCGTCACACGCAACTCTCAAAAACTCCCTCCGGGCTGGTGTTTTCGACGACGGAGCGCTACTTCTTCCCCGCGAAGGCTTCCTCACAGTAAACTCAGAAGACCCACCATGCACGGTGTGCCCCACTGCGTCACTTGCCCACAAGCCCTTTCCCGACCTACCGCCCGGCTACGAACGCTATAAACCACTCGATAAGGTTAACAGCGACTTCATGAATTTTGAGCCAAGGAGGGCTTGACGGCGAACACTACACGCTTACCTTCATCGACGCAAGCACTCGCTACGTCTGGGCCGTTAACACTGACCGCAGATCACTCGCCTTCGTGTGCTTCATCGTGTGGATGAAACGGGCCGAACGACAATCAGGGCTGAAATTAAAAAGCTGGCAGACAGACGGAGCCCTGGAGTTCTTCTCAGACGAGTTCAAGGAGCTGTTCAAACAGAAAGGGATTGAACACCTGGTGTCCCTGCCCTACGCTCACGAGCAACAAGGAGTAGCAGAACGGACAAGCAGGAGCCTCGCCACCAAGATGAGGGCCCTGATGAAGCAGTCAGCCATCCCAACAACATACTGGCCGTTCGCGATGAACCATGCAGTCCGACTGCACAACTTGCTGTTCTCTTGAAGCCTCGAGAACAACAACTCTCCCTACAGAGCATGGACGGGCAGAAAGGCGGACACACGTCTGCTTCGGGTGTTTGGCTGCATGGTACAGTACAGGCCCGACACGGCAAGGACCGGAAAATTTGCTGACCGGGCACGATGGGGTATCCACCTCGGGATCGAAAGGGAATACAAGGCGTGGATCGTGCTGGACTACGCGACACACGAAGTGCCAAAATCATGTGACTGCATCTTCTGCGAGAAGCTGACTCTGCCACTGTTCAACGAACGTCGCGAAGCTGACAAGGCACCGGAAAGGATTTTCGAGGGACACCACAGCTTCGCAACCTCACACGATGAAGCCGACCTAGCAGAAGATGTGGATGCAACAAATGTCACCCAGTTTGACAGCACACCCAACATCCCCCTTACAAGCCCGCTCCAAACTCCAACCTTCATACCTGTACACCACTTCGATCCCGATGATACAACTCGCGAAGCCCACAACTTCAACAGCGATGCACGCCGATCCCCGGATGCTGAGTTCCCAGCACCAAACCCCTCGCAGGACACCCTCCGCCTCGGCAACGACAGCGACGATGACGTGGTCGAAGTAACCAGCTTCCACGACTACGATCGCATGCACTACGAAAAGACCAACGAAACAGGCCTCCGCATCCTCGGGCTCGCAGTTCCTGTTCGCCATGACTCGCCAAGCTCTCTCTAGCCCCGACAGTGAAAAATGGAAGGCAGCCATGGCTAAGGAGGTCGCGGCGCTCAAGACCCGTGGAACATGGAAGCTTGTTCCCTGGACATCTGCGAAGGGGAGAAATATTCTCAGCGGAAAATGGGTCTTCCGCATTAAAACACTCGCAGATGGCTCCATCAACAAATACAAGGCACAATGGGTGGTGCGCGGCTTTGAGCAAACTCACCTGGTGGACTTCGATCTCACCTACGCACCTGTCGGACGGCACACTTCAGTACGGATCCTCATTTGCATCGCAGCCGTCAAACAATGCCCACTTCGCCAGATCGACGTTGGCAGTGCATTCTTGTACGCCCCGGTCGACGCCATCATCTTCGTCGAGCAGCCGCACGCCTTCGAAGAAAACGACGGTGCCGTCTAACTGCTTCAGAAATCTCTCTATAGGATTAAGCAAGCGCCTCGCCTGTAGCAGCAGTACCTGCATACCGTCCTCACGGAGCTTGAATTCAAGCAGCTGCCACACGACCTCGGGATGTACCGAAAGGAGTCGCGCGGAAAATTCATCCTCCTCGTCGCCTACGTCGACGACCTACTCTACACCGACAACGATACGGAGCTACTGGACCAGTTTGAAGCGGACATCAAGGAAAAGCTAGAGGTTACAATCAACCACGACGTCACACAGTTCCTGGGCCTTAACATCACCCAGTCCGCCACCTCCATTCACCTCTCCGCCACCAAATACGCCGAAACACTCGCGAAGACATTCGCCATCGCTCCCATCAATCTCACTACCCCATTTCGCACTCCTCCTCCTAATCACAAACCAGACACCACGCCTCTCAACCTCGAGAATCATCGGCTCTATCAACAGCAGCTGGGGTGCCTCCTGTTCGCCGCCGTCACGTGCCGGCCTGGTCTCTCCTACGTCACAAGCCAGCTCGCTCAGAACATGAAGCGACCTGAAGGGGAAAATATGCTGGATCTACGCCGCGCACTTCAATACTTCATCTCTACTCCCGACGTCGGCCTCACCTACGAAGCCAACTTAACGGATACCCTGCAGCTGCATGGCTACGTGAATGCAGACCATGCGGGAGATGTTGACAACAGACGCTCCCGCACAGGATTCATTTTTCAACTTCAACATGCTGGACTCATCTCATGGAACTCTCAGAAGCAGGAACTCATCGCCCTTTTGTCAGCCGAAGCCGAATTCATCGCTGCCAGCGCAGCTGTTCGCGAAGGATTGTACCTGATGGAGCTCCTGCAAGAGGCGAAAGTGACGATGAACGGGCACTTCACGTTACTATGCGGCAACCTGTGCGCGATCAAGATCGCGAACAAGCCCGGTTTCGCTCTTCGCTACTTTTTCGTCAAAGACGAAATTGAGAAAGGCAAGGTCAAGCTCACGTACTGCCCAACTAGTGACATGGCGGCCGACTTCCTGACAAAGAAACTGCCACGTCAACAGTTTCAGCACTGCGCCAATCTCTGCGGGATCACCAAGAAGTCATACGTGGCTCACCTTCAGGAATGAAAGGGAGTGTTGAAATAACCGAAAGGTTATTATAAGCATTCTCGAAGGCTCTCCAACTCTCGCGTCACTTCATAACGAGGTAGGCGCCTGTATCAGTACCGCATTAGCTCATATAGAGCAAGCGGAAGGTCGAGGGTCACTCGAAGGTCAACAGTCGAAGACAGTCAACGGTCGTGACCCTTGACTGCACAGTAACCACTCAAGGCAGTTGCGAAGTGTAACATGGTAACTGTCTAAAATGACAATAGTCGTGGTTACTGTAGCAATGTAATTCGGTTAATAACGGAATGTACCCCTCAGAGTACATGGCTAGCTAGGATTGCTATTTATATTCTTGTACTCCTACCTTACAATCATCTTGTTCTGTCTTAACTTATTAACAAGGTCATTACAAAGACTTCACAGTTCTCTCACTTATACTTAGCAGCTTTATCCTATCCACTGCGATCCTTCAGTTATAACATCTGTGTGGAACTGGTATGGTAATCACAATCAAGTACGGGCAGTGCATGGTGGTGCTATACGTTCTAGAGAGATCGAGACTAGAAGGGGCTATATTTTTCGGGAATTACGGTCGTGTTGCCTGTGGAAGCTACAAGTTGTGCAGAGCATGTTCGAGGCTGACAAAGGAGAGAACGAGGAAGACAGAGAGGTGCAGCGCAAGCACGTAAGCCACCACGAGCGAGCGCACAAAGGAGTTGCGCTGCAGCGCACTGCCAACGCGCAGACTCAAGGCGTCCAGCGCTCGTGCCGCGTCCACCACGTGCTCCCACACGCGCATGCGCAGCGCCCTCTGCTTGCTCTTGCCACTCGGATCGTCCTCCGTGCTGCCTCGTGCCCTGCAGGTGGGCAGGGAGGGTGAGGAAGGTAATGAAGGTGAGGCGCACAGCGGAACAGCACAGGTGGTGCTGAATGAACCCATGCATGCGGTCAGTGGTATTGCATGCGGGATTGCATGCGTGGGGGCAGCAGGAAGGATAAAGGATGAGAAATGGTTGGCGGCGAAAGGGCGGAGGCAGGTGGCAATGCATGTGAGGTGCACAGCACAGTGGTGGTTGGAAGCGCACGGCACTCACACTGAAGCGCCAGCACAGACCCCCCACAACCAGCTCAGCGCTGCCACCATACGGTGCTCAACCCCTCTGCCCGCACCCCACCCTCTGCTCCCCTCAACCCGCCACCGCCCTCTCTCCCTGCTCCCAACCTCGCCCCGCGACCCCCCCACCCTCCCTAAACCGCCCCCAGTGCCGCCGCCCTGCTCCCCCACGGCCAGCAGCAGGTGCGTGCGCTCCCCCCTTGTGTGGTCCAGCTGCTGCTGCAGCCACGCCACCTCGCTGCTCAGCGCCTCCGCCTGTGCCTGCCGCGTGGGGAGGGAGGGAAGGAATTGAAGAGGGTGGGGGGGAAGAGGGAGGAAAGGGGGAAGGAGGGTGAGAGGGGGTGAGGGGGAACTACAACAGAGGGGTGAGACCCTCGTATTCGGATTGAACGGAGACAGAGCTTGGAAGTGAGGTGACAGTGTGGTTATGCGTCGGCATGCCCCGTGGGAAAGAGGAGCCCACTCGGGAACATGTCAGTCGGAAATGCTCGCTACATGTTGCTTCACCATCACACCTCCACTCCTCTCCGCCCGCCTCAAGTCCTCTCCCACCCACCCTGCACTCACCTGCTTGCCCTGCACTCACCTGCTTGCCCTGCACTCACCTGCTTGCCCTGCACTCACCTGCTTGCCCTGCACTCACCTGCTTGCCCTGCACTCACCTGCTTGCCCTGCACTCACCTGCTTGCCCTGCACTCACCTGCTTGCCCTGCACTCACCTGCTTGCCCTGCACTCACCTGCTTGCCCTGCACATTCTCTGACAGCGCCCTCAGGCGGCGCTCCAGTTGCTTCTCGCGCTCCCCTGCCACGCATGCCGCCATGCCCAGTGGCGGGCCCAGAGGAATGGCAATGGCGGGATGAGAGGCCGGCCAGACAATGGCAGAGAAATGAAGGCAATGGAGGGGCAGGAGGAATGGCCATCCGCACTTAATGTACAGTAGGCGGGCGGCAATTGTGCAGGCCCAAGCGACCTCTCTGCCCAAGCGACCTCTCTGCCCAAGCGACCTCTCTGCCCAAGCGACCTCTCTGCCCAAGCGACCTCTCTGCCAAAGCGACCTCTCTGCCCAAGCGACCTCTCTGCCCAAGCGACCTCTCTGCCCAAGCGACCTCTCTGCCCAAGCGACCTCTCTGCCCAAGCGACCTCTCTGCCCAAGCGACCTCTCTGCCCAAGCGACCTCTCTGCCCAAGCGACCTCTCTGCCCAAGCGACCTCTCTGCCCAAGCGACCTCTCTGCCCAAGCGACCTCCCTGCCCAAGCGACCTCCCTGCCCAAGCGACCTCTCTGCCCAAGCGACCTCTCTGCCCAAGCGACCTCCCTGCCCACCTGCGGTCGGCTGCTTGGCCAGTGCTGCCTGTTGGGCGAGCAGTTGGTGCTTCAGAGATGCCACCTCACCATCCAACATGGCCTGGTGACGTGGCACACAATGTCAGCAAGGGTGGCAATGGCATGGGCGGAGTGAGGAGGTAGTGGCGGGTGGTGAGGGGCTGAGAGGCACGGATGGTGAGGGGCTGAGAGGCACGGATGGTGAGGCGAAGCACGGGCAGCATGAGAGGGCTCTGAGAAACAAGCGAGGACAGAATCCGGGGAATGTGCATAGACGTGAGGGGGGGCAGAGTAACAAACACGAAGGCAGGTGAAGGAGGAAGGGAGAAGATGCAGGGACGGGCACAGAGGGGCATGTGCACTCACCAGCTCCTGCTGCTCATCTGCACAAGCCCCTCTCCCATCCTGCTCACTTCCCCCCTGCCTCGCGTCATCCCCCTCTGCTGCACCTCCCTGCATACGCCTTGATCCATCCTGCCCTCCCCCCTCGCTCCCAGCATGTCCCTGCTGCTGCTGCTGCTGCGCCTCACCACCTGCGTCAGCACCACCCGAGTTATCATGCAGCAGCGCAGCACTGGTGGCGGAGGCTGGGCCGGGCACTGCAGCGGCGGCAGCGGTGCTGCTGTCGCGAGCGGGCGTGGCGGCGTGCAGGGCAGACAGGCGTGCTGTGAGCAGACTGTGCCGCGCCTCAAGGTCCTGCATGGGATGGGATTGGGATATGGGGGGCGGATGGGGATGGGGATGCGGCTGGTGTTAGATTACGTGCAGATAGCTACCTTTGTGTTGTGTGCTTGTACGAATTGCTGGGTATACCTTTGTGCTGAGCAGCCGATCCTAAGCAATCGAGTCCCCAAGCACAAACGAATGTGGTTGGTCAATCCAACCCAACCCAGCCAGCAGTAGATGGCGGGTCAACCCAACACCATTGGTCGTCCCAACACCATTGGTCGTCCCAACACCATTGGTCGCCCCAACACCATTGGTCGCCCCAACACCATTGGTCGTCCCAACACCATTGGTCGTCCCAACACCATTGGTCGTCCCAACACCATTGGTCGTCCCAACACCATTGGTCGTCCCAACACCATTGGTCGCCCCAACACCATTGTTCGCCCCAACACCATTGGTCGTCCCAACACCATTGGTCGTCCCAACACCATTGGTCGTCCCAACACCATTGGTCGCCCCAACACCATTGGTCGCCCCAACACCATTGGTCGTCCCAACACCATTGGTCGTCCCAACACCATTGGTCGTCCCAACACCATTGGTCGTCCCAACACCATTGGTCGTCCCAACACCATTGGTCGTCCCAACACCATTGGTCGTCCCAACACCATTGGTCGTCCCAACACCATTGGTCGCCCCAACACCATTGTTCGCCCCAACACCATTGGTCGTCCCAACACCATTGGTCGTCCCAACACCATTGGTCGCCCCAACACCATTGGTCGCCCCAACACCATTGGTCGTCCCAACACCATTGGTCGTCCCAACACCATTGGTCGTCCCAACACCATTGGTCGTCCCAACACCATTGGTCGTCCCAACACCATTGGTCGTCCCAACACCATTGGTCGCCCCAACACCATTGGTCGTCCCAACACCATTGGTCGTCCCAACACCATTGGTCGCCCCAACACCATTGGTCGCCCCAACACCATTGGTCGTCCCAACACCATTGGTCGCCCCAACACCATTGGTCGTCCCAACACCATTGGTCGCCCCAACACCATTGGTCGTCCCAACACCATTGGTCGCCCCAACACCATTGGTCGTCCCAACACCATTGGTCGCCCCAACACCATTGGTCGTCCCAACACCATTGGTCGTCCCAACACCATTGGTCGTCCCAACACCATTGGTCGCCCCAACACCATTGGTCGTCCCAACACCATTGGTCGCCCCAACACCATTGGTCGTCAAAACACCATTGGTCGCCCCAACACCATTGGTCGTCCCAACACCATTGGTCGTCCCAACACCATTGGTCGTCCCAACACCATTGGTCTTCCCAACACCATTGGTCGCCCCAACACCATTGGTCGTCCCAACACCATTGGTTGTCCCAACACCATTGGTCGTCCCAACACCATTGGTCGTCCCAACACCATTGGTTGTCCCACATTTGTGATCCAGCCACCTCTGGTGGCCTTCCCTGATGATTCTCTTTCCTCTCTACCCCACCTGAACTCGCTGATCATATCAGCATTCGTTTCAGGTGAAGGTGGGACTGAGTGTGAAGGATCGCAAGACACCGCCTCCCCATGGAAGAGGGAAGACTCGTGGAGGGAAGCACATGTGAATCAGGTGGCTGTGATCACACACACCGTACACGAGCGCGGGTCCTACAGCCCGTCAATCCATGCCCGTTGCTGGTTCTTTGGAGAAGCAGCCCGTTGCTGCCATGCCACGCCCGGCCATGCCACGCCCGGCCAGGCCACGCCCGGCCAGGCCACGCCCGGCCACTCCCCTCCCACGTGCGGTAACCTAGATCACAGATGAAAGTTAAGAGAGGATGCTGAGTGGACACCCCGCTTAGGTAGCTCGTTCACTCTGGATCATATGTCAAGAAATCTCGGGTAAGAGACAGCTGCTTGCGTTGACAAAGGAGAAGATGCTGGGGAGATACCTGGCTGGGGAGATACCTCGCTGGGGAGATACCTCGCTGGGGAGATACCTCGCTGAGCGCAAGAAAATACGGCATCATCGTGACCACCCCGTTGGAGCTTGCTTCAATCACAAATTCTTCTTCGCTCATGCAATGCCCATGCGCCCTGTGCTTATCAATGCTACCAGGCAATCTGTGCCTCTCAATGCTACCAGGCAATCTGTGCCTCTCAATGCTACCAGGCAATCTGTGCCTCTCAATGCTACCAGGCAATCTGTGCCTCTCAATGCTACCAGGCAATCTGTGCCTCTCAATGCTACCAGGCAATCTGTGCCTCTCAATGCTACCAGGCACTCTGTGCCTCTCAATGCTACCAGGCAATCTGTGCCTCTCAATGCTACCAGGCAATCTGTGCCTCTCAATGCTACCAGGCAATCTGCGCCTCTCAATGCTACCAGGCAATCTGTGCCTCTCAATGCTACCAGGCAATCTGTGCCTCTCAATGCTACCAGGCAATCTGTGCCTCTCAATGCTACCAGGCAATCTGTGCCTCTCAATGCTACCAGGCAATCTGTGCCTCTCAATGCTACCAGGCAATCTGTGCCTCTCAATGCTACCAGGCAATCTGTGCCTCTCAATGCTACCAGGCAATCTGTGCCTCTCAATGCTACCAGGCAATCTGTGCCTCTCAATGCTACCAGGCAATCTGTGCCTCTCAATGCTACCAGGCAATCTGTGCCTCTCAATGCTACCAGGCAATCTGTGCCTCTCAATGCTGCCAGGCAATCTGTGCCTCTCAATGCTTGCAGCCACCGCAACCACAAACCCACACTTGCTTGCCTCCCCTCCCCCCCCCTTCCTTGCTCTGCACCTTCATATCCTTCGTCCCCCTCTCATCTCACTCATGGTTCCACCAAAGCTTTCCATGTCCTGCCCGCAACAGCCTCCCGCCTCACCTGAATGCAGCGAGTGACCCGCGTGTGCTCCGCCACGCGCTCCTCCATCTGCCTCCGAATGCGCGCCACTGCCCTCGCCTGCCCTGCTTGCTCCTCCCTCAGCGCCCCCTCCCGCTCCTCCGCCTGCCACAAGCGAGGGAATAAGCGAACCATGGAAAGTAAAGGATCAGCACGGATGGGCAAGCGGCGGGGAACATGAGTTGATGGCACAAAGGCCTAATGGTTGAGTTTATATTGTTATCACTCATGTGTATGTACAAGTGGTGATAGTACCATAGACCCACGAGAAATGACATGGATGGTCTTGCCGTGCACAGGAGATGAGCAAATGACCCGACCCGACCCGACCCGACCCGACCCGACCTGGCCGGGCTACACGGGCTCCCGGGGTCGGGTCGGGCCAGGCTCGGGCCAGGTTCCTGAAAGGTCTGACCCGACCCGGGCCTACACACTCAAGTCAGCTTGGACCCGGTAACGGGTCGGGTCGGGTCGGGCCAGTCTCACCCGCCCTTTAGAGGGAGCAGGGGTGTAAAACGCCAAGTTGTAAAAAAACGCCATTCCTGCATCGCAATTTTCCGTGAACAGCAGGATACGATAGTAAACTAGCTATAAATGTCTGTCAATGAGGTTTAAACGGGCCCTAACTAAGTAGTTTCTAAGCTTAGGTGACTTGCTTGCTGCCGTTAGGCAAGATTGAGAGCGTGGGTAGGTTCTGATGTCGAGGGGATAAAAAACCCCTCGATCACAAATTGAACTAGGGTTTTGTGCCCTCTGTATCGACCCTAATTCGGGTCGGGTCAAGCTTGACCCGAAACCCTACCCGACCCGGCCCGATTTCCATGCTCGGGTCGGGTTTTTGATCGGGTCGGGTCGGGTCGGCTCGCACGGGGCAGGCAAATGAAACCACTGCCCCGACCCGGGCTAAACCACGGGTCGAGTCGGGCCAGCCCGACATGAGCGGGGCAAATGCTCATCTCTACAGGAGCAAGCACAGATGAGTAACTAGGAGTCGACAAATGGGACGCACATGCACATGAATACTGGGACTGATAGCCCTGTTGTGTTGACCGTAAGCACTTTTCGTGCCTCGTCCCGCTTCTGCCTTTCTGCGTCTCTTCCCCGCCGGCATCGTCGTGGAAGCAGCACACGCTCACGGGGAAGAGACGCAGAGAGGCGGAAGCGGAACGAGGCACGAGGAGTGCTTACGAATAACACAGCAGGCCCAATACTCCCAGTATTAAGCGACGCTGGTACTGCACAAACCACACACACACAAATGGGACGCATAGGGATGTGCGTGGATTCACTCACACACACATGGAATAAACCACTCAGTCACTTAGTCCAGCCAAGCAGCACCCGTTCCTCCTTGAGTCCCATCCTTCACATAATATTCTCTATCCAAACCCATCCCTCCCTCCATCACACCCATCCCATCCCTTCATGCCCATCCCATGCATCACCTCGTGGCGTGTAGCAGCATGTTTTGACCTCTCCTGCTCCAGCGCTGATGTGGCAGCTGCCAGCTCAGCATGCAGGCTGCCGATCTCCTGGGCCGCCCCGTCAGCCATGTGCTGTGCCGCCTGCTGCAGCCGCTCTATCTCGCCCACCACTACTGACACCTGGGGGGGGTGAAGGAGGGGAACGGGGAGAGGGAGGAGAATGATGCAAGGGACAACAAGCTTTTCGCTTCCAGCAATATTTGCAACTACTCGCTGTACCCGTGCCTCCATCTGCCGGCACCCACCCGCGCCTCCATCTGACTGCACTCGCGGCTGGCGTGGTCAAACTCGGAGCGCATGGCAGGGCTGGTCCACGCGTGTGCCTCCATGCGGCGGCGCCACGACCGCATGGCGTCCATCTCCACCGATGGGCTGCGCGCCACCGCCAGCACCCGAGGCACCTGCGCCCCCAACAGCCCCCGCCTGCTGCTGCCTGTGTTGTTGCTGCTGCCGCCCGCCATGCTGCCGAGACTTGTGGACAGCGGTGCAGCCGCGCTGTCACTCTCTGCATCACCGGGCTCCTCTGCCGCTGTGCTGCTGCTCTTCGCACTCACAGCAGCTTTGCCAACGCTGCCGCTCGCGCTGCTTGGGAGCGTGGCCACACCGGTAGATCCGCTGCTGCCACTCGTGCTGCTTCCCCCAACTTCACCTCGCCCTGCTGCCACTGCTGCACCAGCCCCCTCATCCCTATCATCTGCAGGTTCTCCCGTTTCTCCATTTGGACCTTCCTTGCGTTGTGATTCTTCTCCTGCACCCTTCCCCTGCACTCCCCCACGATCCTCCGTCGCCTCCTCACCACCTCCCTCCCCTCCTTCGTCCCCCCCTCCTTGCATCTCCCACTCGCCGCCCCACGCCTCGAACTCATGTGCATGCCACTCGCCCGTGCCGCTCAATGCGCTTCCCTCGCCACCCCACTTGCCGCCCGCAGCAGCAGCGCCACCCTCCCTTGCACGCCTCAAGCCACCACCGCTGCTGCCACTGCCTGCCGCATGCCCCCCGCCTGCACGCGCACTGCCCTCCTCTGCGTGCCGCTGGCCCCCACCTCCACGCCCCACACCGCCCAGGCTGCTGCTGCTCGCAAGCCCCCGCCCACTAGCGCTCCCACCACGCTCCCCCACACCCCCACCACTGCCATGCGTGCCCCAACCGCCACGCTCCCCCTCCCCCTCCACCACCCCGCCCAGCACCTCTCTGCTCCCCGCCCGCCCCTCACCGTGCTCACCCCCCGACTCCAGCCCTCCTCCGCCCGCCACTGCACGTCGCCCCTCCGGGCCTTCCCAGGCGCGGCGCCCCCCCAACGGTGGCAGGTGGTCGCTGGCGTACCCGGCGCTGCTGGCGTCGCCGTCGCTCGCGTCCACCCACGCCGAGTCCGACACCTGCCCGTCCGTCGCCGCGCCCCACTCGCGCCGGTGCTTCCTGCGGGGAGGGGGGAGGGGGGAGGGGAGAGGGGGGAGGGAAGAGGAGGGGGGGGTGTGCGGGGAGGCACGGCGGCAGGAGACACGGTGTGATGTCGGCGCTCCGCATGGGCGGCAGCGCAGAGGCACGACGCGAGGCTCTGCTGAGAGGCATGGCGACTGGGGGATGCTAGTCTGGCATGAGGCTCGGTTACGGCGACCGGAGTGAGAGGGCGCTGGCAGTTGGAACGAACGACGCGATGCTGCACGCACCTGCGATGAGGGTTTGTGGAGTCGCTCAAGCTCGCCGCTGATTGGTCGACAGCCTCCAGCACATTCGACGCCCACGACAGGAAGTTAGCAACCGGCTTGCGCGGCATGGCGACGGGAGAACGGCCCAGATCTTGACCTCGCTTGCGGGCTAAGAGAATTCGAGTCGACGAAGATTCAACAGCTCTGAGAGTTCACGAAAAAATCACTGCTCGCTAAGAGTTCCTCGAAAACCTATTGGACTCTTCTCGCTCGTACCAGCGCAATGCCGTTATGAGTTTCGATATTATCACTTGCAACACGTCCTGAGGCGCGAAACCATTCTGATATTCGTGTGAGAGGAGGCACGAGCAAACGCTGCTATCTTACGTCGTATTAGCGCAGGAGCGCTATAATGAAGCAGGTTTTTTTAGGGGGTGCTCTTATCGTCTAAAGTTTAGATAAGAGCATGAGACCAAATTGACGCATTTTGCCAAGAGGATTTTAGCCATTCAAAATTTATCAAAATCGTGCATGTATTATGTGTGAAATGGCCAATCAAGAGTGGATTTAGGTATGCCTTCCACGCCTTGTTGGACTGGCCAGGTTTATCGAGCATAAACCTGGCTCATGAGAGCGTACACAGGATAGGGTTCGGGTGTCAGGCCTGAATGAAGAAACTGTTGGGCTGAGAAAAGCCCTTAGGATCTTTGCAGGACTAAACTCCAAGTAGGAACAATGTAATAGCGGAAGCGTTTAATGATAAGTTTGTAAACCACCTTGCGCTGGTATGTGAGCAGGGTAATAGTCAGTGATAGGGTGAGAGGAGACAGTGAGAGACGACGCATGAGGTGGCGTAAGAACAGATACAGGCGGAGCACGACGAGGACTAGAACGAAACAAGACAGTGCGGAGGTCGTCAAAATGAGACGAGGGACGAGTGTCAGATTTATATGACATAGCTACTGTAGGCTATAGTGGGGTAGCACATATGGGGTACAGTTTTCTAGGGTTTGCATTTTGTACCCAACTTTCCCTTAGTCAATTCATTCTCGTTCATTTTCTCATGGTATCGAGCAGGTTCCCCTGTGGGAACTGTTCCTAGGGCCCACCATCTTTTTTTTTTCCTGCCCGGAGCGCGCTCTACACTGCCCGAGTCGCGCTCCCCTCTCTCGACCCTGTCGCGCCGCCCTAGCGGCCCCGTCGCGTCACACTTGCGGCCCCGTCGCGTCGCCCTCGCGGCCCCTTCCCGTTGCGCCGCCCTAACGGCCGCGTCGCGCCGCCCTCGCGGCCCCGATCCGCCGCCCTCGCGGCTCCGTCGCGTCGCGCCGCCCTCGCGGCCCCTTTCACGCCGCCCTCGCGGCCCTTTCTAGCCGCCCTCGTGGCCTCTTCAAGCCGCCCTCGCGACCCCCCCCTCCTAGCCGCCCTAGCGGCCCCGTCGCCTACCCCTCCGGCCCCGACGCCGCCCTTCCCTGCCTCGGCGCCGCCTCTGCTGGCCCCGTCGCCTACCCCTGCGGCCCCGGAGCTGCCCTTCCTGGCCCCGGCGCCGCCTCTACTGGCCCCGACGCCGCTCCACCTGGCCCCGACGCCGCTCCACTCGGCCCCGCCGCCGCTCCACTCGGCCCCGCCACCGCTCCACTCGGCCCCGCCGCTGCTCCACTCGGCCCCGGCGCCGCCTCCACCTGGCCCCGCCGCCGCTCCACTCGGCCCCGCCGCCGCTCCACCCGGCCCCGCCGCCGTCCCCACGCGGCCCCGCCGTCACCACCGAGCCGCCGGTACCGCCGAGCTGCTGCCGAGCCGCCGTACCGCCGAGCCGCCCGAGCCGCCCGAGCCGCCGAGTCGCCGAGCCGCTGTTGCTGCCGAGCCGCCGTACCGCCGAGCCGCCGAGCCACCCGAGCCGCCCTGTCCGGTAAGAGCAACGCCTCTGTCACTGCACTGCCCTTACCCTACTGTTCGCGCTGCTAGTCTACTGCTGTCATGGCTACCCCTAGTGTCCTCGCTTTTGACGCTGAGGGTCGGGCCATTGACTTTGACGTCTGGGTAGATGACCTGCAGCTTTTCCTACAGTGCGATAGGGCAGACGGTCTCTCCCTCTTTGACCTCACCTCTGGTGCCTCTCCTGCCCCTGCTGCAGATGCTGACGCCACTGTTCGCTCACAGTGGGCCACACGCGATGCTGCTGCACGTCTTGCTGTGCGTCGCCACCTGCCTACCTCTGAGCGCGCGCACTTTAGCCAGTACAAGAGTGCTCAGACCTTGTACGACGCTGTAGTTGCGCGCTACTCCTCCCCTGCCACTGCTGCACTGAGCCGCCTCATGCTACCGTACCTCTTCCCTGACCTTGCTGCCTTTCCCACAGTCGCTGACCTCATTACGCACCTCCGCACTAGTGACACTCGCTACCGCGCTGCGCTTCCTGCTGAGTTCTGCGCCAAGAACCCCCCCCCCATGTACATCACCCTCTACTACATAGTCACCCGCCTCCCTGACTCCCTTCGAGTAGTCAGGGACCACTTCCTCTCAGTTTGCCCCACCACTCTCACCGTTGACCTCCTCGAGAAGGCCCTCCTAGCAGCAGAGAAGAGCATAGTCGCTGTAGGAGCCTCTCGTGGTGACCCTCGCACCCCCGTCTTTGAGGGGTGTTCCCCCTCCCCCCTTTTGCCCTCTGTTGCCTCTGCTGCTGCGGCCGACCTCGTTGGTTTCGAGTCGGTCGGCGCTGCGTCTGCGCCGAGCGGGAGACGCCGCACCAGCAAGGGCAAGGGGGGCAAGGGTGCTGGAGGGGCTGGCGGGGGTGGCGGAGGTGGCGGTGGAGGCAGTGGAGGGGGTGGGGGTGGTGGTGGGACTAAGGGAGAGTTGGGTACAAATACAAACCCTAGAAAAACTGTACCCCATATGTGCTACCCCACTATAGCCTACAGTAGCTATGTCATGGCGGCTGAATCGTGACGGGGGACGCAGTGGCGGCGCGCGCTCGCCAGATCTGCGGCTGAATCGTGACGGGGGATGCGGCGGCGGCGCGCGCTCGCCAGATCCGCGGCTACATCGTGATAGGGGAAGGGGAGGCGGCGTGCGCTCGCCAGATCCGCGGCAAAACCGTGATGGGGGACGCGACGGCGGCGTGCGCTCGCCAGATCCGCGGCTGCAGTATGACGGGAGTGTGAAGAAATGAGGAATGAATGAACTAGCAAGCAGGTGGGTACAAGTAGGAAAACCTAAAAGTGTTGTACCCCATATTGTCTACCCCACTACAGCCTACACAGACTATAGCATATAAATCTGACACACCCCCATAGGCAAAGTGGGGGAGAACAAGGGGTCACAAGACCAGTCAAGCAAAGCAAAGCAAGCTCAGGGTGGATCACAAAGTCACCACACATTCCGAGCACAAGTTCAAGGCCACAAGGCCAGTTCACATGCAGGATTACATATATATATAAGGCTAGACAAGTAAGAGCAGGTGTATATATATATATGCAACAGTACAAACAAGGTCAAGGGGTGAGCAAGTGAGGCAAGGTAGGCACAAGACCCAGCTGAGTACAGAAGCGCTGATGATCACAAGGCGCAAGTGCCTTGGTGAAGATATCAGCAGTGTTGGCCTCAGAGGCCACGTACGCAAGCCGCAGCTGACCACGCTGCTGTAGCTCACGAGCAAGGAAGTAGCGGAGAGCAATGTGCTTCGTTCTGTGCTCCAGTCTCTGCTCTCGACACAAGGCCAGCATGGCCTTGTTGTCTACGTACAGCACTGGAGGAGAACGAGGCGGCTCTCCGAGGTCAGTCAGCAGGTAGGTGAGCCAGCGAAGCTCCTGTGCAGCCATGGCCCCGGCGTAGATCTCAGCCTCACAACTGGAGCCGAGAACAGAAGACGAGCGGGTAGCCCGCCACGAAACAGAGCCGGAACCAAGGCTGAAGGTGTAACCCTGTGACGACCGCTGCGTAGCCTGGTCGTCAGCCCAAGAAGCGTCTGCGTGCCCAGTGAGGACCACTGGACTCTGCCCTCCAAGCACAAGCCCCATGCCCGACGTACTGCACAAGTAGCGCAACACCCTCTTCGCTGCAGCCATGTGCTCCGGTCTGTGTCTCCCAGGAGCAACATAGCGTGCGAGAATGCTAAGAGGGTATGCAAGGTCAGGTCGTGTGCAGGTCATCAGGTACATGAGGCAGCCAACAAGCTCTGGGTACGGGCCACTCGACTCTACGGACTCATCCGAAGGCAGAGCTGAGAGCGAGTGGCGAGTAGGCAGAGGAGTGGCCTGAGGCGAGGAGTACGTGAAGCCGAAGCGCTGAAGGACCTGCTGCACCATGTGTGACTGAGTCAGGGTAATGGTGCGGCGTGCTCTGTCCCGGGTGATCTGCAAGCCAAGGTAGCTGCGCAGTTCACCCAGGTCTGTGCACGTGTGTCTCTTCTGCAGCTCGGACTTCACGTGGCCGAGTCCAGCAGTGTCAGCTGTGGCAAAGACCAAGTCGTCGACGTACACGAGGATGTAGAACGGCGGCAAAGAAGTGTCGGTGCGCAGAAACAGCGACGGGTCGGCAGTAGAGGGAGCAAACCCAAGAGCCGCAAGTGTAGTCCTCAGTGTGTCGTGCCACTCACGCGGTGCCTGGCGGAGACCGTAGACTGGCCGCCGGAGGCTCCACTGGGTGCCAGGAGGAAAAGACCCAGTGAAGCCAGGTGGGCGACGCAGCCAGATCTCCTCGTGCAGGCTGCCCTGCAGGAAAGCAGTGCTGAAGTCAAGAGAGTGCAGCTCGTAGTCGCGGTGAGCAGCTATGTGCAGCAGTACCCGAAGAGTGGTCATCTTCGGGGTGGGAGAGAAGGTCTGAAAGTAGTCAACTCCCTGCCGCTGACTGAAGCCACGAGCCACGTAACGCGCCTTGAAGACAGGCGGAGAACCCGGCGGCCGCTTCACCCTGAAAATCCACATGCCACTGACGATGTTCGCCCCAGGCGGGGGAACCTCGTCAACGTAGGTGCCTGTGGACTTCCAGGAAGCCATCTCTGTGTCCATAGCTGCCTGCCACTGAGAGGAGTAGGGACCCTCTATCGCCTCCGCGTAAGAGCGCGGAGTCGGGATGTCAAGTGCATCCGGGTCTCCCTCAGGGGTAAGCAGTACGGACACGAGATGAGGTGAAG